GTTACAATTATCTACAGCGGGTCAGGAGACAGGAGACTCATAAGTCTCCTCTACATAAGAGGGTTTGTCACAATCTCCGCAGACAGGCGGGTTGGAAGTCGCAGTATACAAGGGTCAGGGTTATCAGAGAGAACGGCATGAATGAATCGGTTCAACTGGAGTGATACCACGGCCGAGCAGAAAACCATAGTGAAACAACCACAGCGTTGTATTTCGTCGTGTGAGTGAGGTTACCGGAGGCCCAGTTATCACCTCCCCACTTCCCTGAATCCACATCAATCCTCAAATTCCTCAACCTTAATAAAGCCGGTAACATAGCATAATGTGCACCTCTGCCTACCCCTCAGATCGGATCGGCAAAAAACTAACACTTAAACTGTCAAACACCAAGCGGTCACCAGTGACCGCAACCTATTGTTCTTTAATTGTGTCTATAATGACGGTACTCGACGAGTTAATATTGCTTCCATCAAGTGGCCGTCACAATATTTTCGCCTGGAGTGTCAGTGGCCCTTACTGCCGGCACTGCGTGCATATTGCACCCATGCGAAGCCGGGGCAGGTCGCTAGTATTAAATAAAAAAAGAAAAATAACTTCATATTTACCTGTATCATCAACCATTGTATCTCCGTCATTGTCTTGATTTATCTCCATTTTTACACAATTTTCTCCAACAATATTAATGTGATTTATATTTGTTCTATAAAATTTCAAGTTTTGTACTTTACTCGCTTCCGGCAACTGTAAAAAGTACAATAAACGTATTCGATTATAATTCTATCATTGTTTTTATAATAACTATCGTGAGACATACTAATTTAACTCGTCGAGTACCGTCATTATAGACACATTTAAAGATCAATAGGTTGCGGTCACCGGTGACCTCGCGGTGTTTGACAGTTTAAGTAAAAATCGCGGGTTACTCACGTGAATATACTGAGTAAAGCTCTACTAAACACAGTGGTACAGTGGAAACAGAGTGGTACTTCCTCATGAGCAGCGTGCGCGGTACGGCGATGTCGCGCAGCCTACTCGAACCTAGAAAGAACCCCTCTGTTGTTCGAAACTAGAAGAGCTTTCCTCAGTATATTCACGTGAGTAACTCGAGATTTTAGTTAATATCACCATTTTTATAACGGATGTTAAAATTAAAACTAAATAGTGTATATTATAACTTCCGGTGAGACATAGTAAATTACTTATTATGTTTTCGGCTTAACTCAAGTAACTGTTTGACGAGGATCTCGACTAGTTTCAAGCCATGCTAGAGGCTTTGCACGCGGTGACGTCGCGCAGCCTACTTGACATCGCCTTGACCGCGCACGCTGCTCATGAGGAAGAACCCCTCTGTGGTTCGAAACTCGTTTTTCTCAATATATTCACGGGAGTAATTTAGTATGTCTCGGGATAGTTATTGTTAAAATATAATCGCAAGTTCGGCCCCCATATGGAGTACTGCTCTCATCTCTAGGCAGGAGCGCCAGCATACCAGCTTGGACGTGGTCCAAAGGAGAGCTGTACGACTTGTTGACGATCCTATACTTACGAGCAGTATCGAGCACTTAAGTCTAAGGAGAGATTTTGCCTCCTTGTGCGTGTTCTACCGCTTGTATAATGGGTTATGTTCCGCGGAATCTTATATTATGATATAAAGCGAAAGAGTTTGTTTGAACGCGCTAATCTCCGTATCTACAAGTCTCATTTGAATAATTCTTTTTGTGTTGCATAGCGTATTTATGGAGGAAGGCTATAGGCTATAAAACATCACGCTAAGACCAATAGGAGTAGAGCAGAGCGTGTGAAACCGCGCGGAAGAAGTTAGTTGTTTACTATGATGCCCACGGCCACTTTCTTTCATCGCACCGCTCGCCATCGATAGGGAGTTCACGCTCACACATTGGAGCCCAAATGGTCCCGTACAGTTCGGTTTCAGAGGAAATTCCTCCAACGGACCCTCCTATTGTGGAATGAACCGTGGTTTTCCCAGTGTTTACAACATGGGGTTCTTCAAGAGGGGAGTGAATAATGGTCGGCAAGACGCATGTAATGCCCCAAGTGTTGCAGGCGTACATAGGCCACGGTAACTGCTTACCATCAGGTGGGCCGTGTGCTATTTTACCACCATCGTGGTACATAAAAAGAACAAGGAAAGGAAAAGGAAAGGTATATATAAAAAGTTTTAAGTGTGGAAGAGCCATGCTTCGGCACGAATGGGCCGGCTCGACCGGAGTGATACCACGGCCTTACAGAAAGCCGACGTGAAGCAACGCTTGCGTCGTGTTTCGTCGTGTGAGTGAGGTTACCGGGGGCCCAATTACCCTCCCCTTCCCCAATCTTCCCAATCCCGAAATCCCCAACGATCCTCAAACTCCTAATCCCCAAATGGTCGGTAACGCACTTGTAACGCCCCTGGTGTTCCAGGTGTCCATGGGCGACGCCGATTGCTTACCATCAGGTGATCCGTCAGGTCATTTACCGGCTTATGCTATATAAAAAAACAAGGAAATTATATTACTATATCACTATACAATATATCACTCACATAATTAGTAAAAGTAGCCTCCTTCAATGCTTTAGCGGCTTCCTTGCAGTTCTGGCTAAATGTGTTACATTTCCGAAGCAATGTCACGCAATGGCTACACAACAACTTGGACAGGCAGTCATCTTCTGTCACCTGAAAATTAAACATACATTTCAATTAGATCGAAACAAATATCAACTGCCTACACGTGGCAACTGCTGAGCAAAGGCCTCTTCTCACACGGAGAAGGTTTGAGCATTGATCACTGCGCTTGCTCAATGCTCAAACTTATAATTAGAAATTATAAGTTCGGAAACCTGAACCTTATGTTTTCTTTCACCGTTTGTCAGTGGTGTCTAAATAATCTTAGAAAGTACATAGAACTCGGAAAAAGTCACATTGGTACTTGCTGTTGGTAGGTTTCGAACCCACGCCCTCATGCATGAGAAGCGGGCCACCACGACATTAACAAAAATATGTTGCAAGGGTTTTAATGAACTCTATTCTCCAATGCAAATCCAGAAGTGTGGGAAGCCATGCTCCGGCACTGCTGGGCCGGCTCGACCGGAGTGATACCACCAACGAGAAGAACCGCCGTTTCACGTCGTGTGAGGGAGGTTACCGAAGGCCTAATTACCCCCTTCCTAATATCCCCAACAATTCTAAAAGTACTAATCCCCAAAACGCCGGTAACGTCTCTAGTGTTTCGGGTGTCCACAGGCGACGCAGATTGCTTACCATCAGGTGATTAGTCAGCTCGTTTACCGGCTTATACTTAAAAAAAGAAATCAAGCCCTTTCGTTCGATATCCATAATGGAGGTAGTTGTGGAACATTAGATTATATTGTATGGTCATCAAGATTAAGAGTGTGTACCAAACATCAGATCGATCTGTCGTCAAGGGGGTGAAATTAAAGTATGATAATTTTCGAATGGGCCGGCTCGACCGGAGTGATACCACGGCCTCACAGAAACGTCGTGAAGCAACGCTTGCGTTGTATTTCGTCGTGTGAGTGAGGTTACTGTAGGCCTAATTACCCCAATCCCTAACAATCCTCAAATGCCTAATCCCAAAAGGCCGGTAACGCACTTGTAACGCCTCTAGTGTTCCGTGTGTCCATGGGCGACGCTGATTGCTTACCATCAGGTGATCCGTCTGCTCGTTTACCGGCTTATACCATAAAAAAAGAGGTAGTTGTGGAACATTAGATTATATTGTATGGTCGTCAAGATTAAGAGTGTTTACCAAATATCAGATCGATGTGTCGTCAGGAAGGGGGGGAGGGGGGGGGGAATTAAAG